ATATAATTTTAATTGTAGCTGCCACCATTTGTTTTTGTTAATTATGACATTAGAAACAAAACATATAAAATCAATGGCATTCATGCTATACTTATGGAGACAATTGGCAAACACTTAAACATAAGTTATAATATTCATTATTGTAATCAGATTTACGGTTCGCAACCAATTAATGGCAAATGGCCGGGACTTATTGGAAAGTTAAGTACCGGGGTAAATTTAACTAACCATGATGATTAAATATGTCATTTAATAATTTATTAATAGTATTATTTGATCAAAAGGCTGCAGATATCTCTACCGGACTTACAATGACATCTTTAAGACTAAATGCCATCGACTATACATATCCTTATGATTTGAATGAAGTCTCGTTCACGTCTCCATTGCCGACGACAACCCATTTCCACAATTTGTTGCAACCCTTCGACAGTTATATTTGGCTCTCAATCCTAACCACAATCACACTATTCATTTATAATTCACTTTACTTTATTTTGATTGATTGTTTTATTTAATTCCCATTTCCACAATTTGTTGCAACCCTTCGACAGTTATATTTGGCTCTCAATCCTAACCACAATCACACTATTCATTGCCGTTATATTCACTACAAATACTATCAATAAATCTAATAATATATTCACGTTATGTTGGAATGTATTTACAATTTTTTTGTATTTGCAAAACATGTCTAAAATTACCGCAAGATATCCAAACAATATGATATTTTTAACCTGGATTATTCTTTCTATTGTAATACATATATCATATTCGGGTACAATATATTCATTAATCACAGTTCCTGTGGAGCATAGGATTGAAAGTATTGAACAGTTGATAACAAACGATATTAAGTTATTAATACATAAGGATTCACTTTATCGACAATTTATGGTTAGTATTAAATCCATATTTTTATTAAAACTTTGGTTTTTGTATTCATATAATCTGTTTAACAACAGGAAAATATGAAAATTTTTGACAAAAGGGTTGGTATAAAATACATGGAAAAGGATGGCAATTATATGTTTCAATATTTAAATAAAAACAAAGGGAAATATGCTATAATTGAAAGCAGATTTGTATTAAAATATTATTTGTTGATTAATAATATCACCGATTACTATGTATCAAACGATCCTGATGCTAGTAAAATACCCAAATTCTTACTGGCGCTGGGTGTACCCAAAAATTCAATATATCTTGATACATTAAACAAAATGCAAGTGAATTAATGCTTATATTAATGCAACATCTCACCCTAAATAGTTTTTGTTATAATATATTAAATTAATGTTATTATATTTTAAACCTAGCTTATCTCGAATACGCGAATCAAATCTTTATAATTACTGGCAAAGTCATTTTATTTATAAAATTGACAAAAGTTATTTTTACCACGATTTAAATTTTGAAAATCACTTTAATCTTGGTTATAATTCGTTGAGTTTTCTGTTTGTTACATGTATTTACTTTTTAATCATTTCCACACTTGTATTTACGTTTGAATTATTAATAAAATTTTAATTTTAGATTTTACAACAAAATAATTATTTAATTATAATTTAGGCATTAGTTGTGATACAATATTTTGATATTTTAATGGATATATAAACGATGAATGATGTTACTTTATATAAATAAATTCAAATTAATATAACGCCAAATCTATTTTACAAAATAATAAAGCATAACATTAAAATTATTTTGAAACTATATGGACATGTTTAAATATATAGAATAGAACATAATTAAAGTTTTAAAATAAAATATAATTATTTCAAACAAACAAACAACAATTGTAATAGCACAACTGTAAATAAAATTTCTAAATGTTATATGTAAATTATCAAGATTAATAGGAATGACAACATTGGTATTGGTCATATTGTCAGAATTATCAAATTTTCTAATCCAAAACTCAATTAACCCAGATGATGTTAGATGTGATAATCTATTAATATAATACAAAATTTAAAAATGGTATATCTATCATGAATTCTAACTAAACTTACATTTTATTAAAATCATGTTTAAGTGAAAAATTTCTTTTCAATCCAATGGCGATTAAAACCATGGAGAAAGAAGTGGCACCATTATTGTCGGGTATATAATAATTATAGATTTCATTAAAATTCATTAAGTATTTCATTGCGATTCTCTCGTTAATAAACGATACGCCCGACGGCGCCGTTCGCATGTAATCTATGGTACTTTTATTTTTGACACGGTCGATTAACTTAGGCTGTAGCATACGATAAACATCACCTTGCTTATCCTAAGAGAATTAATTTAACAAATTATATATAATTAAATGCGTTATTATAGGGTATTTAAAATAATAAAATTACCCCGAACAACATATCGTAATTTGAACCAATGGGCGAATAGACTCGTTGAGCTGATACCAGAAATTCATCGATTGATGAAATGTATAGAATATTAGGAGAAGTAATAATAGAATAAAAAGCAGCAGAAATACAGTTTGAAATGACTACACATGATAAAAACCAAATACCAGCTACAATTTTAATAATTGACCTGTTTACATTCAATTTATGTGGTGATTGTTGTAATAACAAAAATAATATTTTCCATTTACCATGGTTTGATTTGTCTGGTATTTGTATTAATAGTAATAAAATACATGAGAAAATAAGTGCAAACCAAATGTTAATATCAAATATACGGAGTAAACCAAATGTATTAATGGATATTGGGTTTGGTGTGATAAATGTAAACGAGTCAATAATATGTGGATACGTGTATTCAATGAATTTCATTCTCTCTGATGTTATGGTAAGTTCAGATAACCCTATGTCAGCTTCCTATGAAAAAATGTGCTTGATTAAAAAAACGTATAAATTTTTTCATAAATAAATTTACGTACGTTATTAATCAATTTGCCAACAATTCCCCCTTTCATACCCCATACATGGTTACAATATTTAATGTGGTAGGTGAAATTGAGTGCTCTCTGTATAGTATTAATTATGTTCCATTCTATTCCAGCAATTAGTTTATATTTGCTGTTTATATGTTTGACAAATGTAAATGGAGGTACCTGTTATAAACAATGCAATTTTACCTTAATTATTGTTAATTAATCTAAAGTAGACAATTTTAAAAAGGGCCTCTACTATTATAGATTAAATAACGAGTAAATACTTACATTATTAGCAGCGATTATCAAATGTCTATTTAACAAATTCATATTATCTTACTTTTTAGTATAATAATTGGCTAAATATATTGTATAATATAATGCTACTAGAATAACACTAAAATAACACTATTTTAATTTGAATTTGAATGTATAATCTAACCATATCAAATCTCAAAATAAGTTATAAAACAATTATTTATTTGAGAAATAAATTAATGATTATTAATAATAAATAAATATTATTAATAAATAAAATTAATATAGAAATACATTTTTAAAACATTAAAATAGTTTTGTAATATATTGTAACATATTTTGATAATAATTTTGATTTTATGTATCATAATAACTTACTTATTATTACAAATAATATTTTCTGTTTTGCATTATGTAATATAAAATTGATACATTGAACTTTTAACAAACATTTGCAAATATAAATGCAAAATAATAAAAATTAATGTTTTGTAATATTCTATTATAATGTAAATTATAATCGATTGAATACATATAATGTAAAAATGGCAATGAATTATAAATTATACTGAATATAAAAATGTTATTTGATATATTATCGATACTAGTAAACAAATAAATGTCAAAATAGCATTTTTCAGCATAAGTGATTTAAATAATACTGTAAACTAGATGTAAACTGCACTAAACTCTTTATGCCACAGATAAGCTAGGACATTTTTAAATTAGACGTTGGTTTTATAAGATCGATGTGCATACATTTTTAATGAAAGCTTATCTTTGTTTTATATCTTAACATATTTATAATTATGAATTTAATACAAATTATTAAAAAAAATAATTTAATTAGAAATGTATGTATAAAATAAAATAAAATAAAATCAATAAAAATGTTTAGATGAGTTATTTTACAGTTAATAATATTTTAGATAATATATTCGTTGAAAATACATATAAAGAGAACCAATAAAATAATTTCCAATACAATTTAAGGGTATCATTTAATTTATTATTATATTGTAAACAAGAAATTGTAAATGCATTTTATTGATTAATTATCAAACATTTTTGTCATAAATTTTACAATTTATTTTGTTCACTATTTTTGCAGATAAATAATCAATCATATTGCCTATGCAATTTTTATTTCTAAAGTTTTACTGATAAAGTAGTATTATAATTTTACATATCACATATTTTTATATTAGTGTCAAATGAAGTTAAAAAGAATTATTTTAGCATTAATAATATTTTAAATAATTAATTCTGTAAACTATTAATCATTTTATCCAGCTAGTTTTATTTATAACTGTAATCATATATCATTTACAATTTATGTAATTATATACAAAGTAAGTAAAAAGCTCAAACAAGACGCTTATAATTGAAATAATTAATAATATAATTAATGTTGAAAAGATTGTTGATAGTTTACTTAAATTAATTGGTTTTGGACCAATAGTTGAGAATTTTGACTTATGATAAGTGTTATATTTTACATCATTAAAATTATTTTCTGTCCAATAATTAATTATACCAGCGTTGACTAAACGTGATAAACTCTAGGGTGACAAAGTCGCCATCTTTCTCACCTTGGGTAGAGTGTTACAAAGTTTAATATACATTGGTAATATAATTTAAACATTAAGATAGATAAATTATTTGTATTAATACTTAGTAGCACTCTACTCAAGGTGAGAAAGATGGCGACTTTGTCACCCTAGAGGTTATATGATGATGTAAGTTTTTGTTATAAGTGTATTATATTGCTTGCTTGTACATTAATTAAGTACACTTATTAAAAATATTTAATTATTACTATTTAACACATGTTTATATCAGGGATTATTCGTCTTCAGAGTTTGGTGCGATCGACTCCTTTAACCCGTCGACGGTATTCATAGACACGTTTGCGGCCATCGGTTGGGCCTATGATCTGAAAAAGCCGTCCCTCGATGTGATGAATGGCCGTCGGATCAGATGCGGTGACAATAGTAACCAGATATCCAGATCCCGACTGTCGGAGCAAATCGTGGGTTTAATTGCAATATTTATGCCGTTTTTGGCCATAACTATACTCCGGATGAATGCGTTTGTATGGCCTGTAATACCGATTGTCGTATACCTGATTGCATGTCATCCGCACGGCTTTAAAATTAAAAATTAATTTACAATTATTGATAAAAATAATTATTATTTTACATGATTAATGATTATATCATATAACAATCTTGTAATGAATAGTAAGCTTTAAGCCTAATTTACCAAGATTTAAAACACAAATATTGTACTATGTTTACATTTGTTAATATAACATTATTAGAAAGTACAGTATTTAAATTGCATGTTTCTTATAAAGAAATTGTACTGTATTAGAATAAATGCAGAATAATTAAAAATATTATTATATTAAGTTTATTCTCTTTCTGTATCTACACAAAGCTGAAGTAATTTGGCTGTAGTACTTTGAGCTAACTCCTTTAGACAGTTAAACAAAAATAAAGAAAAATTTATTTAATAGTAAGTTGAAATTGTTATTAAAATTAATAATGAGGTGTTTTACAACATGTACATTTTATATCTTTTAAACCACTATACCGAGAGATGACAAAGTTGATAACCTAGGAATATTAGAATATACAGTATATAAATGCCGATAATTAAGACAATTATCAAATTTTATTTTAATGTTTAGCATTTTTAATTCAAATATATTTTATTAAATAGAAATTATTTTGATACTCATTATATTTGTAATATTTTAACAATTAATTCTAGTTTAATGAACTCATTATTTATAAATTGATCATAATTCAATTAACATTTATACATTATGTATATATGTTAAATAAAATGTCTGGATTTGATCAATATTTGACAAAAATTATTGTAAACATATTCCTTATACTTAAGGTTTTTATATGAATTTCTATAAGATTTAAATCATTAATTATAGACCGAATTGATAATTAAAAATACTTAAGTTATTTTGAACGGCATATAAATATTAACTAATGTTGGTATTTTATTCATGTAAAATTAATTGTAATTAACAATTAATATAATGCTTTTAAAGCTAATTAATTATTTGTTTATAAACTTAAAGTCCACAAAAAATTAACACTCATTTCATATTAAATTTAAATAATGTAATTTAAAATATATTAAATAAAAATGAATGCAAGGCATAAATTCATAAGTAAAATAGTAAAATTAAGCATTAAATAAGCTTAGTTATGTTGAGAATCAGATAAAACCAAGATAAATTGTCATTGGAATAGATGCTGTGCATCAGCCATCAACAATAACCATGATGAAATTTATTTAGAATATTGTTTATAAAGTGATGGCAACTTCTGGTGCGTTCATTTGCCCTGATTGTACACCGTTGGGCAGTTGTGGCGATACAATTGAATTATCATTTGTTACAGTATTACTAACGGAACGGACCCACAGATTATATACACTCTATAAGTAAATTGCAATTAGTATCATATATACAGTACTCGTCACAACTCGCTTACCATAACAGTGAGACCCAGAAAAAAGCACCCGAAATGTGTGTACAATGCGATCGACTTATACCACCGGTCGTCCGGACAATACGTGTACCAAACGGCCATTAAAACACAATTTTCAATAAACAATATGGTATAATAAATCATTCGTTGCCCAACTAGTTTACCATCCGGATTGTGATAGCAAAATATAAACACAAAAGCTAACCCTGCTGAATTTCGCAGCTCTTTGTAAAATCGTTTACGAGCCGACTGTATAATCCGATCGCGATAGTCATCAGGGTTTTCCTGGTCACCCCTGGGCGCCGGCACCGACTGGCTCTCCCCTATTGGCTCAGGTATATCCGGCCAATTGATTGGCGGCCAATCGGGTGTGGTCTCGGGCGGTGCCGACGCTATCCGAGATGCTCTGTTTTTGCCATCTATGTCACCCATGACGTATACGGTCCATACGAACATGGCCAGATAGTGCAAACAGCAAACCACAGCTAGATGAATCGGGAATACGCTGGCAAACAGCGATATGGCTAATACGCGCGCCCCTATTGCGAACAATCGCCATAGGTAATTTGCGATATATTCCTGAAATTACATTATCGTTATTACTTACTAATGAAATATTGATATTTATTTATTTAACAATGTTGATTTAATAAAATTAAGCGAGGTATTTTAGCTCATGCTGCATATGTTACAAACACTTACCGCCAAACTCCATGTACTACCATTGAAATACCATAAGCGCATTCTTTCGTAAGAAACTATTGAAATCGAGAGCGCAAATAATGATCCCAAGATTGATACACCTTTTATAATAGGAAAGTATTATACAGTTTTTAAATCATCAATATTAAAAAAAAGTTAAATCTAACTTCATGAATTAAATAAAATACATATACAATATCTGGTTTCATTTAAATGCAACAAGGTGAGGTGAGAATATATTGTAATACATACATGTCAGAACACCGATGTTCCGAGTGCTAGACATGGCCACGATATAGAGCTGAAGCACGAGCTGAGGGGCCGCTTCCATGAAGGTCTCAATGATTTGCGAGCGATTCAGCTCGCGCTTTTTATATGAGTAACACTTGAACTGCTCCGCCCTATCTTCCCATGATCTAGTTAGTTGTCTGGATTTGTGAGCATGCACCAATATATCGATACGTCGATACATGGGTCCCAATTGCAACCATAGGCACGCGGTTAGTGTATGGCGTTCGCAGGCTGTGGTCGGTTGAATGGGCAGTGTTGGAGGCTGATTACCAGGTGGCTGATATTCATATAAATAATTATACCAGCGTCGCATAATTACCATCAAAACTAATGACGGCAAAAGTATGAACGTCAGCGTCAGACCGAAATACCTGTGTGCGTGAGGTTAAGTGAGGAAATACGGTACAAGTGTTTAGAATCAAATATATTATCAACGTTATAATTAATCTAATAATTAGATTAAGCAAAATTAATTACCAATAATTTTGATTGAGATAATGATTAATTGCTAGCACTATATCACTGGCCACGTCCCACAGGTATAGCACGATAGAAAGTAAAAATAATCCGAAGTCGGTGTTTGTGACGCGCATGCGTTCCACCAGTAATACGTCCATTAGGTCACGTCGTTCGTAGCGGTCGGTAGTATTGACCGACTCTGCGATTATCAAGCGGTCTGTGGGCTGAGACGCCGGTGCCTGTGGTGGCGATGATGTGCTGGCAATTGTAGCGCTGGTATCACTACTAGTGGTCTCATTCAGACTGTTATTGTCCGGCGATTGTCTGTTACGGACCGGCATTTCATCCATACTTATCGGGCTATTACTGCCTAAAGTGATTTCCGTTACCATCGATTTACTATTTGTTTTAAAGATATTATTATTGAGTTTTGATATTTATATTATTACAGCAGCACAATATATAATGCACCGATTAATTAATTAATAATTAATTGTGAACTCGGGTAAAATAAAAACGTATTTAACATGCTGTGAAACACGATGAATTAATATGTTATATTGTAACTAAATTAATATGCTAGACAAAGCAACTTTTAGATATTAGGGAAATGGTTTAGATATGCACTAAATGAAAATGTAAGTATAAACTAAATATGTTTCAGTATCGCCTGATCATAGGCATCATCGTCTCGTATAATGTGAGTCATATTACATTAAAAATGTTGTTTGTTATGGTATGAAATATATCTAGATAATATCACTTAAAAATAACATTTCATTAACTAATATTACGTGATAAACTTTGGAATTAAACAAATATTTCAACGTTATAAATACAAGGTCAATCAAAAATAAAAATATGCATATTAATTTTAGTTAATTTTATGGCACTTTTATGTTCTGGCGCCGTTTATTTAAAATACATGTATTTTACACTTATTTCTAACGTTAGAGAGAGAGAGAGAGAACACGAGATATAAAGG